TGGGGGGGAAGTGAAGGGTGGGGGCAGGGGCATCGGTTGTCTCTGAGAGTCCACACGGTCCAGCAACTCACCCAGCAACAGCCAACTCCCACCATGAAAACTAGAACGCTTAGAATTTCACATAACAACAAACCAACCAGCTCAGTGTTCCCTGCCTGCTTTTCTTTAGTCAGTGGGAATAAAAGCTTGAGGCCATCTTTAAACCAGCCCGAGTGGCCGTTACACTTGACTTTTACTGAGTTTTGGCAAAACAACGGACTTGGGCTCTGGGGCTACTGCTGACGGTCTTCTAGAACAAGAGCCTCGAGGCTCAGGACTGCTTCTTCAGGAGTGCCGATTCTGGACTCCTTGGATCAAGCTTCGTTCCAGTAACACGTCGGCAAAGGCACAGTTTACACTGGGGGGACTCGTCGTCTCTACGCGCCTTGTGTGGGACCAGACAAACACGGGATCCCGAGCAAGAGACTTACCCCTCAGTTTGCTCGTCTATTCATGGGCAAAATGAGCACCTGTCTCCGAAGGCCGCCCTTAGAATTCAATGAGATGAGGCATATCCATGGGGAAATGGCATTAAAAAGATCGTGGAAGTTTTTCACAAACGTTTTGAAGCCCCCTCAGGGTTTAGCTTTGGGGCTAACAACCCCGTTCCGGCTCTGAGAACTCAATCATCATTACCCTAATTACTACAAAGTAAGACCTCGATATTCTCCAGCTTCGACTCGTCAGGGAGTAGTGGCTGTTCGGTGCCATCGAGGTGGTTACAGCCCATAGCGACCGTGTGCACAACAGGGCAGACCACTGCCCTCTCCTGCGCCACCCTCGCCAGTGCTCCTGCGCCTGAGCCCATGGCTACAGCCACTGTGTCTGTCCATCCGTTGACGGTCTTCCTCGTTCTCTCTGCCCCTCCACTTTACCAAGCATGACGTCCTTCTCAGGGACTGGTCTCTCCTGACAGCATGTCCAAAGTATGTAAGATGAAGTTTTGCCATCCTTCCCTCTCCCATAATTGTCTAAAACAGTCTCTCTGGGCAAACAAGTCTTGAAGCTGACCACCCTGGAACTTCCTGCCAGCTTTATCAGAGGAGCAGCATTGGACTACTGAAGTGCCAGTTCTCAAAGTTCATGCTGAAACACACACACACACACACACACACACACACACACACACACAGTACCACCACACTGGCACTCGTGGGTGTCATGGGTGGAATGAAGCTCAGAATCTCATCAGGCAACTGAGGGGTCCCTTGACCTCACCTTTGCACAAAGGTCCCCATAGGTACGGCAGAGGTGATGAGAGAGAGAGATGGGCAGGGGAGAGGGTGGAGAAGGCTTATGAGTGTCTTCTACCCACAGTCTTGCCCCAGCTGGAGAATCAAGCTGCTCCAAGTCCCTCCTTCCCTTAGACCTTTAGAAGGCAGCACTCCCCTGCGCAGCGATCCTACCTCTTCCTTTATGTCCCTCCACTCAGCCAACATTTACTGCATTCCCCCACAAGGAGGCACTATTCCAGGTGCAGAGGACAAAAAGTAACAAGACTGCATCTGGGCCCCATGGGGAACTTCCAGTCTAGTAGATGGGCAGATGGGCAGACACCATCCAGCAGTTACCACATGAGGTGGTGTCCAGAAGGTTCTCTGGAAGGAACTCTGGGAAGGGAGAAAGGGCCAGATTTGTTTTGGGTGGCCCTTGGTGTTTCTAGGGTTCAGGGCGGTTCGGTTAGCAAGAAGGTTCTAGCCAACAGGCCACTCACCACACTGGTTCTCCATGTGGCCCTGGCCCACTCCACAGGCCTCCGCCTGGCCTTCAGAAGTCCGGGGGTCCTTTTGAGGCGCCTCCAGGTCCCTGCCGGACAGCTGCAGGTGGAGCTGCTCCCTGTGTGCTGCTTTCCGGAGCGTGCGGATGGCTTTCCGGAGCCGCCTCTCTGTTTGCTTTACGACACAGCTCAGATCACAGGATGCTACAGGAACAAGAGGGGCGGCAGTGGGGAGGGAGATCAGACTGCAGCCTGTGAGCGTGTCCGGACAGACGGCAGGGCCCACCAACACCCAAAGTTCCGTGTGGGACAGGATGGGGGAGACCTGGAAGCAGGCACTTAGCAGACTGGGCAGCAGTCCATTCCAATCAAAATGTGTAGACCAAAATGGTAGGTTTGGGTTTTTTAGGAAGCAGATAAAACACTTCAAGATCCAAACCAATTCAGTTTACTTTTTTTTTTTGGTTGGGGGGGCGATCAGGGGGACCACACCAACAAAACAGGAGATACTTCAGTCATCGCATTAGCTTTCCCCCCAAGAAAGACGAACCGTGAAAGACAAAGAAGGAGCAGGCTGCGAGCAGCCTGGCATCAGAGACTGCATTCCAACCAACCTGTCACCTCCTTTGGGTTAGCCTCAAGCTCAAACTCAACAGTGACAAACATTTCCTTAGTGGCGCTCCGTCGGCCAGGGGCTCCTGGGACTTGCTTGCCAGAGCTGCATGCAAGGTTTGCGTAGCGGAAGCTCTCTCTTACTGAACTGTGCTTGTCTGTATGAAGAAACAAAAGGATCGGAAGCCAAATCCCGGCAAAGCGTGCAGCTGCACATTCGCTCGATTCAGTAAACACTTCATTGACACAACTCTGCGGGGACTAAGTGATTAGCTCCAGATGCCGAGCCATCCAAGCACTCGGCTCGGAGCACCGGTGACACTGTGGTTTAGCAGACGCAGGGAGGCCTCCTCCTAGGGAACTTTGCAGTTTAGCGCTTGAAAATTCGTTTCACGGATAAATAATGCTCTGTGTTTCTGATGGATCAGCCACATACATGGGAGAGGAGAACCGGGGTCACTTCATCTCCCCCCTGCAACAGCCCCCACCGACCACCCCTTTCTGCTGAGAGCTGAGTCCTAAGGTGCCCACGTGCCCTCCCAGTGGGCTTCTTCAAAACTGGTCGGTGAGGTCTCAGGCAGGGGTGGAGGCTTCAAATAAGGACCGAGGACAGGCCTAGAGAGGACGCCAGCTCCTGCATTCAGCTCAAACTGACCGTAGGCCAATCCCAACTCCAAGGGCCAGCTGCAAAGTACCTCCACAGCAATGTCTCATGTGGAATGACCAGGAGCAATTCATAACACAAAGAGTCAACAGAGCCAATCAATGTCAAGAAGGAGTCTGGCATGGGAATGAGAGTGTGCATGTGTGCGTGCGTGCTATAAGCGTCTGCATATCCCTTTCCCTGCCCTTGGCCATCGCCTCGCCACCCTACAGCTTCCAGAGAATGTGTTAGCCAAAGCTTGTCCATCTGGCCCCAAGAGCAGGTCCACATACCATCCACATTCATTTGCCTCTCATCTGAAATTTTATTCCACTGAATCTGACTACAGGGAACTGTATTATAGTCTTCGCTAACCTGAGGTTAACTTTTCAGAAAGCCAACTTTCAATATCAAGTTACTTTGAACCCTTTTCTCTGGCAATGTTCTCATACCTGTTTCTTTTCTTTTTAAAAAATCATTTTTAGGTTTACATAAACATTGCTGAGAAAGTTCACATAGACCCTCCGTCACCCAGCTTACCTGGATGGCCACATCTTATGTCAATTTGGTACATTTATGAAAACAAGAAGAAGAAGAACACTGGTAAAAGATCAATAATTAAGCTATAGGCCAAATCTATTTTGAAACAATGCCTCTGAGTTAAAAGTGAGCATTCGTGGTCACCGTAGGGAACAGAAGAAGGAGGAGGGGGAGGAGAAGGAGAGAAGGAGAAGGAGGAGAAGAAGAGTCACTGACCACCCTCCCTCCCAGATGTAGGCAACTATGAACAAGAGGGCCAGACTGTTTCCTTTTTGCCTCAAAGTCATACTTTTCTTCCATAACTTGGCTTGTGGTACCTATGCCAAATGTGACTCTTCATTTTTTTCCCTCTTCGCATTCTAAAAAGAACATTTTCCTATGTCATTGGGCATGATTTGCCAACATAGAATTAATGGCTGCGTACTATTTTATCAAACAGTGATCCCAAACCTGAACTTGGCTAATCACTTAGGCAGAAAGTCAAAAAAATGACTAGAGTGATTTTCCTGTTGGGTTGTCTGATTTATTTGAAGATGGATTAGGGAAAGAAGCTTCCTGATATAGGAATCCCCATCTCTTAATGGCGGTCAAAATACATGCAACAAAGTGCTTGCCCATTGCACACAGTTTTGCATGTACCATTTGGTGGCACTGACTGGAGCCATCCTGTCGTGCCACCATCCCTCACCCTTTTCCGAATTATTTCGCTACCCATAATGGAAACGCGACGCTGTTGCTGCTGTGCTTGTCCTCTCTCAAATCATCCTGTGAAGCAGGACTGGGCACGCAAGCCGGGAAAGAAGGGCGTGTTGGCTCTGCTCTTGTCAATAAGGCCAGTCCTCCTGGGATGGTGTTTGTTATGCTACAGCCAAGGGGGGGCCACTGCCTCCAAAAACTAGACCTGCAGGAGCATCATCGTCAAAAAAGCATTCTTCCTGAGCCACGCCTTTCTTCGTTTGTGGTGACCTATGTTTGAAACAAACTTTAAGATCGAGAGAATTTAACCCAATCCAAGCTGCCACGTATCTTAAGCCTCACTGACCACTGTGAACGCACAGGTTTCCTTGAGTCTCCCCAGCAGGACCTCAGCAGGAGCTCTGCCAGCGCTACCCCGTGGGCCCAGGCTGCGAGAGGAGGCCCTGGTGAATCTGCACCAGTGGACCGCTCTGGGCCCTCCCTGGGACTTTGAGCTCAGCTGTCACCTGCCCCATTCCCAGCATGCAGGCGCGCTCCCTGCACCAGCCGTCTGGTTGCATACCTGGTAGTACTGGGTGCAGACCCTCGGGAAACCGCTCGGCCTCTTTCAAACTACACTTGCCTTCATTTAGCTTAAAGGTTACACTTGTCCTGACGGTGGCGACATCTTCAGAAAGAGACAAGTGAGAAACGTTACCTTCAGAGGCAAAGGAATGGAAATATCAGAGGAATAATGTAAACTATCTGTTGCTGCCCCCCCCATGCTACGTACCCCCAAACTTCTGCTTGCCGCAGCTCCCCTCTGACCCCTAAGACCGAGAAAAGTTGAGGTCACCGAGCGTGTAGTATCCTGGACCAGGAACACCAGGAAGCGCCTAAGAGTTACGTCTGTCCCTCCAATTGAGAGATAAACCTAGTACACAATTGTAACCGTGCAAGAGCTGAAAACGGCCTCAATGGGGAGATGAGAGAGGAAAGGCGCTTTGTGTGCCTTTCTGAGAACGGAGTCCGGAACCTCTCAATCCAAAGTGGAAACGAGACAGTTGAGGGATAGGGCAAAGGACCCACTCCTAAAACCCCGCATCTAGGACAGGACGGGGTAGAGGGAGTCGCCTGTGCCAGACAAGGATGGTGCTCAGGAAACGTGGCCAGGAATCCCAAGATCTGGGAGGGACTCAGGGTCCCACCCAGAGGGCCTACTATACAAAAGTCTGCTCTCCGTTCAGGCAGTCTTTACCGTAGGGTTAAGGTTCTGGAGAGAACAGCCTGATACAAAATTCTAGTGTTTTGACTTGTGGTGAGAAGCTGAGCATGCTACTCAATCTCTCTGGCCTCAGGAACCTCATCTGTACGATGGACATAACTGTACTCCCAACATGCTCCGGCTACATGGGGATTAAATGAGGTACTTTTAAAAAAAGCTTAGCCTACTGCCTAGTAAATAGCAAAAAATGAAGCCCTGATGGCTACTGGCTTGTTGGAGTGGCCTAAATCTCCAACTCTCTGCCCCTGAGGAGTCTGGGAACGACCACGATGTCTGCTCTTGCTGGGCCCAGACATACAGCCAAAGCAGCCGCTGAAGGGCAGGGGCTGACACTCCGGACCCAGACCGCCTGGGTCCGACGTCCTCGCCCGGTTCTCTACCTGATCCCTGTGGCGCTGCTACGTCACCTCTCTGAGCTGCGGGCCCTTTCACTGTTTCAGGAGAACGACAATAAAATTGCCTGAAGGTTGTTGTGCGGATTAAATTAACCAGTACACGTGATACCCTGGCTAGCCTATTTTAATGGTGAATCCACATATGTGAGCCATTAGCCCCACATGTCGGGCCCCTGATTCCGCTCACATGTGCAGATCTGCATCGATAATCATCCCCCCTCAGATGCTCTCCGGGCACAGAAGCGCAAGGTGCCCGCACCTGTGAGGAAAAGGCCTCCTGACTAATTGGGAAGGGCTGTCCTTTCTCCTTGGAGAGTCCCTGCTCCCCTTGCTCTGCCCGCATTGGTGTCCTCCCAACTCCGTGTGCCCACCCCAACCCCGCCCCCACACATTCCCTGGGGGCCTCTGAGGGGCTCTGGGGAACAAAGGTTGTCAGGAGTTGAAATGGACCGGGGACAACGAGATGGGGATGCCCCTGGGACTCGCCCCCCGGCTGAGCAGGCCCTTCCTGACCCACTGTGCCCTCTGTCAGGGTCTGTTACCTGAGGAGACCGGTTTCACAGGACCAAGGGCGCTGGCAAGAACACCTGGCACCCAGTGCTGAGGCCATCAAGAGAAGAAACCAAGGGCAACCCTCAGGGCACCACCCCATGAAAAAGACCGCAGAACGGGCTTGATGGAAGGAAGGGGACAACATTCTCTTCACTGTGAAGCTGGGAGATCTTGGGAATCAGGGAGTCCCAGAGAACACGCAGATTTGGTAATTACCCCCAAAAGCAGAGTCATTTGCTTTTTGCTGTTTGTTCCTGAGAGGAGAGGAAGCGCCACAGGTGACAGAGTAGGCCTCTTGCGGTCCTAACAGACAGAACGTGGGTTGTCAAACAGGCGGGCAAGCGCCAGTGTACCCTGGGCACAGCACAGGGCACCCTCCACCCCCACTCTACATGAGCCATTGTCCTGGGTCCCTCCTGTTGCCAGAACAGGTCTGCCGCACGTGGACAGCATTCACAGAAATTTATTCTCCCAGTTTAGGAGGCTGGAAGTCCATATCCAGAGGCCCGGCCTAGGCAAAGCCTGCCTGTCTCTGTCTCGTCTGTCTGTCTCTCCTCTCCCCATGCATACCCCTCCCCAGGAAGGTCTTTGTCTATTCAACTTTGCTTCCTGTTCCTTTACCTGGCTCCTGCTCTGTTCACTGGTTTAATCTCCTGTATCTCCAAAGAGGTCAAATCAAGGCACACCCCACACTATATTTATTAACAAATCTCACAGGCCTAGAGGGTACTATTTACAACACAAATCCCTGGAGGACATAATTAAATCCACAATATTCCATTCTTTGGCCCCCCCCCAAATGTATGCCCTTGCTACACACAAAACACATTCACCCCATCCTCCCCTCCCTCCCCACACACCAACAAAAAACACTGCTCACTGCCATCAAGGGGTACGACTCATAGCAACCTTGTAAGACGGTCGAACTCCCCCTGTGAGTTTCCAAGACTGTAACTCTTTATGAGACTAGAAAGTCTCATCTTTCTCTGCACCCCATCACATTATCCCCCAAACTCTTAAATCAATTCCAAGTCCCAAATCTCATTTTCTGAGTCATCCAAATCAACTAGGAGTGAGACTTCCGGCACCTTCCATCCTGGGACAAAATTCGTCTTCATCTAGGAACCTGTGAATTCTAGAAAGCTTGCCTCCAAAGCACAAAGGCAGAACAGGGAGATCTATTCACGACAAACGGGAACAGTTGAAGGGGACGAGGGAGAGCAGGCACTAGGAACACTGAACACTGAGCAGAACAGACCATAGTTCTCAAGGCTTAGAAATAACCCCTTCTCTGAGAGCACCTGGGTAAAGGCTACAGTCTCCAGACTCTAAGTGTTGGTCATCTCTGGGGGAGTCTATGCCCCAGGCTTCCACTGCACCTTCCAGGCCAGCTGGAATGCCCACTGGAGCAGCAACTTTGCTTCCTCAGCTCTGGGTAGCCCCATTCTCCTAGACCATCTAAGTGGGATCCCCACCCCCTCAAGCTGACAGGCAGGCCCCATCTTTTGCCCTTTGGGCATGGCAGCCACATCCCATCAGCTTTGGGCAATGGTCCCATCCTGCTAACATAGCTTCAAAGCAGTCCCAAACTCCTGTACCTAGTAAATAATGATGAAACTCTTTGAAACCTCGGAGATGTGTGGCCTCACCCTTGGAGATCCAGGAGACTGGCCTTACCCTTTGAAATCATTAAGGTCCTGCTTCCTAGGCTCCTTCCAACAGTTCTGCTGATCTCCAAGCTGCTCCAGGGATGATCCTCCTCCCTCCCCTTCCCTCCTGTCCCCCTCCCCTCCCCTTCCTTCCCTGGGGATAACAGATGTAGCTCCTTCAGCCTGCTTCCTGCCTAGAGAATCCCAAGAGTCAGACAACATTCTCTCCTTCTGTCCTTTCTGACCTCTTCAGTCCACATGGATGGATTTTCTGCTGTGGTAGTTGGTTAGATACACTAGTCACAGGCTTAATCTCTTTTTTAAAGTTTGCGTAGCCACATCCTTGACGGAAATGTTAGGACTCTTGTCTGTAGTTTGTTGAGTACAATTTGGCAAATCTTTAAGTTCTGTTTTCGTCTGGCATCATTCATTTTTGAGTCCATCTTTGCCCTCGTGTATTGTACAATCAGCAGTAGAGACAAACCATGGCGGCCCTGGCTTCTATCTTGCTCAGACATCTCGTCGGGCAGATATCCATTCGTCACTAACACGGTCCACCTTCCACCAAATGGGTGAGCACCGTTGCTTGCCTCTGCATCAAAGCAACAGCCTTCCTCACCTGTGTTCTTTCCAAGCCTCACCAGAGGCCCATCTAACATGCACATCTCTAACAAAACCCTATCGCTGGCGCCATATGCATTCTCTAGGAGCCTCTCTCGAAAGCTCTTCTCACTTCCTTTGAGCCCTGCCCACAGTTGTCTTTGATGTCCCTAATTCCACCAATGGTCTCTTCGAGACCATACAAGCTTTTACCATGGAACGCCTATGGCACCTGAAACCACTTCCAGCCTCTGCCCATCATCCAATTCTAAAGTCGGGCCCCGACACTGGTATTGTTGGAGCAGCACCTCACTCTCCCAGGACCAAATTCGGTCTTCCTTAGATAGTGCTGCTACAACAGAAATCGCACAGGCGATGGCTTACACAAACAGAAATGTATTTTCTCACATTTAGGAAGCTCGAAGTCCAAAGTCAGGGTGCCAGCTCCCAGGGAAGGCATTCTCTCTCGGGAGACTCCGGAGGAAGGTTTTGTCTCTTCAGCTTCTGCGTCCTGACTCTTTCGGGCTCTTATGCGTCTTGGCATCTATCTTATCCCGTCTCTGCTCACTGTTTCATTCTTTGATATCTCAAAAGTGCTACTGCAAGATACACCTAGACTAATCCTGCCTCCTGAATGTAACAAAGACAGGCCATCCTTGAGTGGGATGGGATTATAACTACAGGCATAAGGGTTAGGATTTACACACACGTTTTCTTAGAGGACATGATTCAATCCATCACAGGCCACAAGAAAACACCTGTCATGTGGGATGTCTGCATGTCAGTCTCTGGAGGTGAGGGCACATTTGTTCTAGACTCTAGAAGCCATTTGTGAGTATCTAACACCTGGAAGCCAGGAAGGCCTGTCGCCCGACACGAACACTTGCCCTGGGGACTGGGACCCACTCACCTGAAGAGAGGTGAATGCCAGAGTGACATCTTAGGAAGCACCTGTCTCCTCCACCACTCTTACTGCACTGCAGGGACACATGGGGTGTCCTATTGGGCAGGAGCCCCTTCACTTCTAAACAGGATGAAACATAGACACTTATGGAGAGAAGGAAACGTCCAGGTGTGACAATGACAATTTCGTCCCATGCACCAAAAGCCCCACAATGTCAGAAAAAGAAGGCAGAGCTGACACCCAGCACAGAGCACGGAACTAGTTCTCACCAAGTGGAAGGAGGCTCTGGCACGCTAAATGTCATGCAGAAAAGCAACCAGGGAAGCAGAAGCTTCCACCTGCACGAGGAAGCGCAGAAGGAAACACCGACGAGCCTGCAAATATCTCCTGTTTTTGAACTGTGTCAAGAAGGGCAGCTGTGGAGGGATGGTCAGCTGCCCTCCGGGTCCCAGTCGGGCAGGGGGGAAAGGCACGGAGCTGCAACACGTCTGGGCCAGGGGCCGCCCCGCTGACTGGGTGTGCGCCTCAGCGCCCCTTACCCACACAGTCCTTTTTATTCCAGTGGAGCTTGTGCCCAGGGTGGCACTGGCATTCGTAGCTGCCCACTGTGTTCACACAGACCTGCTGACAGCCTCCGTTGTTGACGCTGCACTCATTCGTGTCTGCGGAACAAAACAGGCCCGGTCACAGGTGCCCAGTCACTCCAAGAGGAGGGCGAATTGGCCTGGCCGCCTTTGGGATGTACGCCTGGTCCGGCCGACCCACACCCACTTCCTGCCGATGCTGGGCAGGACTCAGGTTCCACACTGGGCCAAACCCTTCCCCCATTTGGCACACTCAGGAGGGGACAGCCTCGGACATCACGCAGCATTCCAATGGGAAGCCACACCATCCTCCCGGGGCGCCCAAGGAAGATGGAGAGAAAGACGCCTACCCCGCTGACTGTCATCAGCCCTGCCATTACCTGGCCATTCAAGTTTTTCTCTTTTTTAAATTTTTACAAATTTTTCATTCCATTTTTTCAAGAACTTCTTGAAGCCTAGACACACGCATACATATGCAAACGTGAGAGAGGCCTCCAAAAGCTCCTGAGAAAATGGAGTGGAAAAGGTCATGGAATTTTTCCGTGAGATTTTGAAGCCGTGGTGTGTGTGTGTGTGTGTGTGTGTGTGTGTGTGTGTGTGTGTGTGTGTTTATGCAGAAATAGACAGCATCGTGTGTATGTGAGGTGTAGGTGAGGGGCAGAGAAGGTAAGGGCCTTGCAGTGACCACCCCATCAACCTGAGACTGGTTTCGGTCGACTGGTTAGTGCCCCCAACTAACCAGATGCATACTGCATGCCGTCTGTCTCCTCGGGCTTTCTTGCTGGACGACAAGAGGATGTCTGGCCTAAGCTATTCTGAATCCGAACCCATACATCTGTTTTCTGGAGCCTGCTCATTGGGAACGGGAAGTGGGGAGTCTGTGATGCTCAGTCTGATTTATGCTGCAGATGTCTTGACCTGAGCTTACGTGATGTGACGTCGACCCGTGCTGCTAATTGGGTCCAGGGCAGAGAGAAACTCAACGGCCCCACTTTAGCTCAAAGAGCCAACAGTGAGGACGGAACCAAGGCTTTGCTGTCCATTCCTAGGTAGTGCAGGACCATGGCATGGCCTCTCTGGGGACTGTGACTCTACTCTCGGCTGGGAGGTTCCAAAGGATAGGGTGTCAGCCCCCGAGAGACCCTCCCATTCTCTGCATCCAGCTTGCAGCAGTGAAGCCAATCAAGAGTTCACAGGTGAAAGAGCTCAGCTCTCTCACTGCGGCAGTTCACATGTTCCAGGGATAAATGTGGGAGACTTCCCCCAGCATATGCTGCCCTAGGGCGGATAAACTCATTACTACAAACCAGGGATTGGAAATGTGCCTTTCATCCGCCCCCTCCTTCCCCCGATGGAGGAAAATAAAGACCCCTGATCTGAGGAAACGTGGGCCCCCGGCCCACCCACTCCCCCTGCCAGGCCCAGCCTTCTGCCCTCCTTTTGCCTCTGAAGGGCAGTTTTCTCACCTCCACAGTGGGTAAAGCCATAGAGCGTGTACCCCTTGTTGCAAGCACATGCAAATGTGCCAGGGTGGTTGATACAGTTGTGGTCACAGGTCCTATCCAGAGAGCACTCGTCCACATCTGGAATTTGCAAAGGGAGAGAGGGACTGAGACCTCAGTGGACGGGGGACGGGAGGGGGGGAACAGTGTGTTTATAATGAATACCAGCTGCGTCTGACCGACAACACAAACAACAACAAACAGGCTCAGAAGACCATCCGTTCTCCTCTCCTGTCCACTCAGCGGTGATCAAGAAAGGACAGCGTGTGCACGATTCATTTATTCACGGCCAGGGACCTTATGTCGAAATTCTGTTGCAGACAGCATTTGCCAGAAAGCTCCAGTCGTCTCTCTTGCCCAAGCCTGTCCCCAGGGCTGAGTAATTTAAACGATGTAAATGAAGCCAAAGGAGATAGCTTACCGAAAAGGAATCGTGCTCATCCTAAGGCACTAGTTCAGTGTCATTATCACTGCACTACTATAAGGCACTCATTATCGCTGCACTACTATAAGGCACTAGCTCATTATTGCTGCACTACTATTGCTAAAACGGCAACACTCATTGTATTAGGTGTGGTTCCCTGAAAGGAGAAAACTCGAAGGTCGGAGGTAAATCTGGTTCCCAACTCTCTCTTTCTCTCTGACCTTCCTAGAACCAGTCTTCGGACCCCAGGAGGCCATTTGAGTCTGGATTTTAATGCCTTCCACAGTAGAATGCATCGACCCTCGTATCCCCTGAAATGTTCTCTTGCAAACACCGAAAGGTGGTGTTGACGCTCCCAACCGGATCCTCTGGGCTGACGCCCTGATCTTGTTCCTCACCTTGACTCAGTCCTCCCTGTGCCCCACTGTCCACACTCTGGGGAGTGGCCTCCTTGCCTCCTGTGGGGGTCATGGAAACTGACCTCGGGAGACTGCGCTTGTCATTCGAATCACACCTTTCCCTCTAGTCTGGTCCTCCCCTCTGTCCCGTAGACTAAATTGTCAGTGTTCCCCTTCCTGAACGCTTTGGAAGGTTTCAACAGAATGACGAGCGGGCTTCAAATGGATAAACCAGCACCAGTATGGAAGCCAACCGGACCGTGACGAGACCACGTTTCCAACACGGAGTGTGCCGTGAGAAACCGCAGGAGTAAAAGCAAACATCTGGAGTTGGAAGAATGAAAACGTGAATAAGGAAAGTCAACTTCTTACAAAACCTCTTCGTCCTAGCGTTTCCCAGCAATCCCGGCGATTGCTGCAGCATATTTGTTCTGTGCAAATATTTGTTCTACCAAGACTGGCCAGTGAAAAATTAGAAAAAGTCCGTTTCTTGCCTGGTAATGGATGCCATGCTATAACACCTGCTATTAATCTCAGCCAGTTGTTGGGAAAGAGGGCCCGTTCAGTAGCTGACGTTGGCTCCTCACTGTGAGATTTTGCTTTGTCAGAAAATAATGAGATCACGTTTCTAATTCCTTTTTAATGTGTTTACACAGCTCGCACAGTATTTCTGGCTCTATGCGTTATGAAGCATTCTGTGCGTCAGTACGTTTGCTTCCCAGGCAAACTGAAGTCAACCCACGCAGGGACCGTCCAGAATGAACCCCCTTGCTGGATTTAAAGGCGAAGAGACACTTGAACTTTTCGACAAGTTGTCTACTGAGAAGAGCAAACCGAGAGAGGGGAAAAACAAACAATGGGCGTGGTAAAGACGAGACGTTCTAGCGTCACCATCTGAAGTTAAACCAGACATGCTAGAGAGAGGCTCGAGACCAGCATTCTTAACAAAATAAGCCAGGCCGTTTGTCTATACCTGGAAGAGGAATAACTGATAGCACGTACTTCCTGACGGTTTCTCCCGATCAGTAGGGCACCAAAGGTGCTCATTTACAGGTATAAGTGATTCCCACCACCCTGCCCGCTCAAAATCGTTACTAATCTCAATGACACCAGCTACCCAGAGCGGCCCCACAGCTGCACCGCTTCTGTAGGGAGGAAGGGGTGCTGCTGAGGACCGGCCAGCATCCCCTGGACACAGTCCCCGCCCTCTCTCTGCCCCTCTCTCCCTGAGCCCCAAAGGCTTCCACACAAACACAATGAGGACGTAAACAAGTGGACGTGTGATCTCGATTGTGGACTGAACCCGAGTGTGGGCTAGAGGGTGTGTTCATTTTATAACAGTCATCTTGGCATCGAATTCCCGTATCATACGATTCGATAGTTTAGTCCTATTAAGAAGCGTTGTACACGCATCACTGCAATCGATCCTAGAACACGTTCTTCGTGCTCAGACGCATTGTGATTAGGGGAAAACTTCTGTGATAGAGTCAGCAACTTTAAAATAAATGTTGGAACAGGAAAAGGACTCCTAACCTTAGCACCCCGATCCAGCCCTGTTTACCTTCTAGGTCATATTCCGTACCGAGCAGCAACTTCAGCTGTGAGCTGTTCTAATTTTAGCAGCAGAATCTACCTGCAAGCTCCATCCGTGCTCTTCTCTGGTCCACAGAGCAAAGGGGCGCTCAAGCCGCAGGAAGGATGAGCGAGCGAGGCCTTCAGAACCCTAGCGACCCGGTCTCTGCAGGGTTGGGTTCTGCCTTCTCTGCTCCACCCAGCAGGCCACCGCACCGCGGAGCGACTGGTCGGCACCTACCTTGGCAAGACTTCTCATCTGTTAGTAATTTAAATCCTTTTTTGCAGCTGCAGTCGAAGCTGCCCACGGTGTTCTTGCAGAAATGGGCGCAGCCCCCGCGGTGGGTCTGGCACTCGTCGATATCTGTAACGGGCAGGCACGGGCAAATCAGGCAGCCACCCCGCCTCACGGTCCGCGCATCCCTGACATGCTCGTGTGTGTGCTTCATTAGAGAGCCACGAAAAGACCCGATCCATAAAACCACTTCGGGATGTTTGTGGACTCTGTAAACGTGCACACACGGTCTGGCCTGGCTGAAGCCGTTTTGAAAGACAAGGGCCTCACTCCATCTCTTAAGACCGTCTGGGGGACGCGGCCCCCTGCCTGGCCTTGTGGAAACGGGGTGGAAGAAAGAGTGATGAGTCCCTGTGCTGGCACTGCTTTCCCAAGAACGCTAGAAGGGACTAGAACCTTTGTTTAGGCAAGTGACAATAGCCTCAAAGCTTCTAACTGAGTCCTGATACTCAAATCAACCTGATCTTTTCTCAGGTTCGCCTCCTACCTGGCTGTCTACTCTCTTTTGATCATCCTGAAGAACTGATCTTGGCTGGGCAATACTAGCAGGTCACTGGGGCCTCTCTTCATCAGGAACAGTCCGCCGTTCGGTTGTTCATTAAACTGTTCCCGATAATCATCTTGGCAGCTATTCACACAATAATCTCTCGGCTGTTATTTATGAACGGTTGATATGATCGTCTGCAAACAAATGTTTCCTGAACTTCTGCCCTTTCCGAATAAGGGCCCTGCCTGAAATGGATTATGTAGTGCGTGCACAGGCTGATCTTCTCAACAGTTAATGCAATTACACTGCCTCTAATTGAGCTTCCTCAATTATAACCGTCCACTCGCCCCGGGAAGAAAAGCTCTGTCAATGTGAATCATAAGCCAATCTGGAGGTGGGAGTGGAGGGGAACAGCTGCCTTCAGCAGCGGGGGCTTCCCCCCAAACCAGCACCTCCAGTCTCCCGGGAGAGGCTCGGGCTACCTTTACAGGTCTTCCCATCCAACTGCAGCGTGAATCCAACGGGACAACTGCAGTGAACACCTGTCGAAGTGTCCTTGCAGGTGCGGTCGCAGCCTCCGTTGTTGACGGCACACGTTTCTGACACGGAGGTAAGGGGAAAGGCATTAGCTTCCTGGAGAGGTACTGATACAGATGTCAAAAAGAGACAGTGTCAACACTTGGCAGAGTTGGTGGGTGCCAGGAGGCATGATGGGATACTTAGAGACACAGTCCAAATATCTGCGGATGAGCTAAAGAAATAGCTGCAAGTGAGCAGGTGGTGCTCCCGACTCATCGACATGACCGACCGGTAAAGCTACCCCTTTCTCCCTGCAGCAGAGCGCCTCCCCCTGGCAGAGCTAGCACTAGTAAGTCCCGCTCACCAGCCCTGGCAGGCTAGCCGTGAGTGCAAAGGGGAGCAAATGCTCCTTCCTTCCTCCTGAACACCCCCATTCTACATGAATAATGAGCAGAGGGTTCGCATCAGCCACCAGGACGCTTCCTTTGTCACAGACTAGTGGCTTGAGTCTTGCCGCTGCTAATGAACACATTTCAGATTTCAGTTTGCCTGAAAGGGGGAAGACCTGTCTGAGCCACTTAGGAAAGCAACCAGAGTTGTTTAGTCACGAAGACTTAACCAAGAGGCGAAAACAACAAGCAAATCGCCTCCTCAGAGTCCTGCGCTTCCCCCAGGGACCTGCAAGTCAAAGGCAGTGCTAGCCCACCTTCCCTCAATTGTTAGCCGCTCAGGACCCAGAAACCGGACTGCTTCCACCGCTACTTCGTATTAAAACCCGGTGACGGGGAGACTTGGCTCTAATTAAATATGACAGATGGAATACACACATCCTCTCAAAAGCTCACTGAAGTGAGAACAGATGGACAGAATCAAAGAGAACGTGTGCTTAAAAACCAAGGAGACAGGAGAGGAGACCATCAGTAAAAAATGTAAAAACGTCTAGACTGGGCATGTCAATGAATGAGCAGTAAATGGAACAGCAGAAATGTAGGAAGCCACGCTGGTCCCCTGAGGGCGTCAACAATGGTAAGCTCCTTTGGGCCACCACAAGCTCACTCACTGCCATCCCGACCCTATAGGACCAGGTAGAACTGCCCCTTCGGGTCTCCAGGGCTTTAAATCTCTAGGGGAATAAGCAGCCTTATCTTTGTCCCGATTCGAGCCAGGGGATCACAGAAATGCCCAGGGATCCGAGATACCAAGTTACGCCCCAGAAAGAGAGAAGGACAGATGTAAAAAGAGGGTGATTGGCTGGGAGTCTTCTATATGAAAGTATGAAGGGTTTTATTTTTTTTAAGTTCATGGAAAGTAGAATTAAAAGATGATGGGACTTTTCTTTCTTTTTTAATAGATCATTTTATCGGGGCTCTTATAGCTCTTATCACAAACCACACATCCATGTGTCAAGCAAGTTTGTACATATGTTGCCATCATCACTTTCAAAACATTTTCTTTCTACTTGACCCCTTGATATCAGCTCCTCATTTTTCCCTCCCTCCCCCACCCTTCTGCCCTCATGAACACTTGATAAATTATAAATCATTATTATTTTCATATCTTACACCATCCACTGTCTCCCTTCACCCATGTTTCTGTTGTTGGTCACCTGGGTGGTACGGTAGTGGTGGTTATATGTTGATCATGGCAATCGGTTCCCCTTTTCTCCCCCACCTTCTCCCTACCCTCTTGGTATCGCTACTCTCATTATTGGTCCTGAGGGCTTATCTGTCCTGGACTCTGTGTGTTAAGAGCTCTTATCTGTACCAGTGAATCTGTACATGCTCTGGTATCACCAGATGTGTAAGGTAGAACTAGGGTCATGATAGTGGGGGGCGGGGGAGGAAGCATTAAAGAACTAGAGGATTGTTGTATGTTTTGTCGGTGCTACACTGCACCTGGACTGACTTGTCCCTTCTGCTAGGGGATGTCCAATTGTCTACAGATGGGCTCTGGGGCTCCACTCCATCTTCCTCACAGATCCGGTCCTTCCTTTCACATAGCCAAATAAATACGCCTCTATTTTCCAATGAAAGCAGAGAGCTTTATTCTCTGGAGAAGGTGCACCGAACTTAAGGACGCCAGGAATACCAGAGGGTGGAGTGAGGCTCCGTCAGAGGAAAGTCTAGACACAGAAAGGAGATCTCAAAGCCTCACCATCTCCTCAGCTGCCAGCAGACTGGCAGCCAGTGTTGTGGGAAAGATTCTAATGTGAAATAAACACCCTAAATCAAACAAATAAGGAACTTGGAGGAAATGAAGATGATATAGGGGAAAAAGATACCCATGTTTTGCTTTGTTTTTAAAGATCCTTACAATTAATCTCCTCCGAAAGACAATAAAACATCCATGAGACAAGAGCAAAAGAATAGTCAGAAAACAGACTAAAATTCTTCAAAATATAAACTACAGAAGCAAATTTTATAAAAGAACCCTATTGGAGGATTAGAAGATAAAATTGCATGAGGGGGAAATTATAAATTATCAAGGGTTCATGGGGGGGTGGGGATGAGGAGCTGATACCAAGGGCTCAAACAGAAAGGAAATGTTTGGAAAATGATGATGGCAACAAATGTACAAATGTGCTTGACACACAATGGATGGACGTATGGATTGTGATGTGAGCCCCCAATAAAATGTTTTTAAAAAAAGATAAAATTGAAGAAACTTCCTAGATAATAAAACAAAAAATACAAAGAAAAGTAGAGTGTCAACCCAAGGGTTACAACAGCCAACTAGGAAGAGTTGCAGAAAGAAGGAATAGAAGAATAAAGGGGAAAATCATCAAAAGAGAAAAATAAGAAAATTTCCCAGCTCTAAGGGTTTGTATGTAATATAGGTTTGGCAGCAGCTAGCTCATATTTGCATGTCTACGAATAAATCTAAATATATAAGAGAGCACACAGCAGGCACTATCAGAAAAATGTATTTGCCATAACCAAACATCTCGTGGGACTGAGACACTGGGGTTGAGGGATAGGGACTGAAGTCCTGAGGGGCATCTACGTCAATTAACAACATAGTGCATAAAGGCAACAGCCTTCATTCCGCCTTGGTGAGTGGAAACTGGGGTCCTAGATGCTTGTGAGCAGCCATCTAAAATACCATGTAAAATTAGTCTCCTCCTGGCCAGAGCAAAGAAGACGAAGAAAACCAGACTGAAGGAAACAATCACTCCAAAGAACTAGATGAAACCCAGCTACCACTACCAATACCTCTGACAAGGGTTCCAATAGCGAGAGACAAAATGTAGAGCGAGATTCCAATTCCTTAAAAACGAGCAAACCAGACTTACTGGTCTAATAGAACCGGGTGGAACACTGAGTCTACAACCCTTGGACACCCTTAAACTTGCCTGAAGGGCATCCGAGGGCCATAGTCTGGAGTGTTATCACTCTATTACACCCGTCAACTTGAGCTCTTTTAGGATTTTGAGCTTTGCTCCACATTTTTCTCCCACTCTAATAAGGACCTCCTAGCATAATCCCTTTCAGAGTGGTGAGCAGCAGCAGCCAGGCACCGTCTAGTTCTGGTCTCGGAGTCAAGGAAGTTGGGGTTCACACGGTCCATTAGCCCTCTGGACTAACTGATACCATGTGCTTGGTTTGTTTATTTCAGTCATTCTTCTTTCCTCCAGATGGGGCGAGACCAACACCTTAGGCGGTTGTTTCCAAGCTAGTAAGAGCCCAGTCCCTACTTACCAAAGTAGGATATAGAACACTGTCTTTGTGAACTATGTCCTGCCAGCTGACCCGGATGTCCCCAAAGACTATGGGCCTGAGTCCCCAGCCCAGTGACTCATTCTCTCAAGGTGCTTGGTAAGGGCACAGATGTTTTCATAACAGTGCCCTCGGTCCCCGCTGCTACAATCAAGTTTATTATTTTCAGCAAAGGTAGAAATCTTCTGTCCTAAGTAGAAACGTGTAAAAATGTTTTCTGGCAAATTTTAATATATATATATATATATATATATATATATGTGTATGTGTGTATATATATATATGTGTATATGTGTGTGTGTGTGTGTGTGTATTTGTGGACAAAGTTGCATTCACCTTCCCATACTTGCTCAACATGAGTCTACCTGGGCATCCACTCATCGATAATGGTCATTACTGTCACTGGAGGATGGAGTCTGCGACAGCATTCACCTTGGCTGCCTATAACTCTTGTGCTTCTCCCAGTGAAAACTACTGACTTTTTGAAATCAGGAAAGATCTTAGACATGTCACCTGATTGGTTACCAATGACAGCTCAATGTTTGTACCGTTCCGTGAGGTCAAGCTGCTGTAAGGAAGATGCAGGACCGGGCAGTGCTCCGTTCTGTGGTCACTATGGGCTCAAACCAATTCGACTGTACTTCACAACACCACACTCTTTATTCTGATAGCCTTCCAAAGCACCTGTTTACTCCCACCCACCACGGCTATTGCCTCCACTTTGCTTATTGTCTTCAGCTCATGTGCTGGACAGGCCTTCCCGTGTGCCACAGGCCAATGTTCCTCATCTGCATTCATTTCTTCTATTCTTAACACTGGTTGAGTTTTCTTCCTTGAACTCCCTCTGACATAGGCCGGGGTCTTTAGAGTCTTGCCCTCAGACAGAGTGCACTGGAAAGTGAATCACTTTCACCCCGCCAATCAGCCCAGGGAGAGGCAATCTCCCTCAGAGGCTTACCCGGGTGTGTCCTTGATAGAGGTCACTGTATGGGGTGTGTGTGTGTGTGTGTGTGTGTGTGTGTAATGGTCATGAGCCATGCCCTAACTGTCTTGGAGAACCCCCTGGACCAGTATTGTAAGTTTCTCTGTCTTCCATAAGGCACAGTTCCCAGTCATGGTCCCCATCCCTCTCTGGGCATTCCACTATGTTATATTGATCTGCCACCAAGCATGTTTATAAGACAGTCTTGTGTTTGACCTTTGTAAAGCTGTATCCTAGCAAGCCCTTGGACGCCAAGATGGCCTTAAGTTAATGGTCTCCCTCATCTGGAGTTGTCTTGTCTCTGTCCTGTGGAAGACTTAATAAATGTTCTCTTCATTAAACAACAACTCTGGTTGAGTGAGTGTGTGTGTGTGTGTGTGTTTAAATACACAAATTGCCAGGCTAAGCTAGAGGCTGCCCAACGCACCTGTCATTCAGGTGACTCAGCCAGAAGGAAAGCCGTGTTCCCCAACTACCCCCTTTAAGTGCCAGGCACCGGGCTCCGGGTGCTATCAGACCTGATTAGCTGAGTTACACTTCCTGACCACCTGAATAAGTCAACTTTATTATATCCATGTTAAAGACCAAGAGATGGGGGCTCAGGGCAACCTGCCCAAGGCCTCTCTCGCAGCTCAGCAGGCGCCTTCCATAAAGCCAGCCGTCTTGGACGGTGACTGAGACGGCACCTGTGAAGAACACAGGCTCTGGCTTGGCGAGAGCTGTTCGTCCCAGTCCAGCCCGTCTCAGAGTGGATGGCCCACCCGCTCAGGCTGCTGTGGTTAGTTGGGGAGGGACAAGGCCAACATGAGTGGCCAGGGGTGGGGAGTAGAAGCACGTACCCATGAGCAGCCTTCGTTTCACCCGTTTGTCCCCATCCGCCGCGGAGGTGGCGTTGCTGTCCGTCAGCTCCAGGGCAGTGTCCTCGGGCACTGCAAGAAGAAGCCAAAGCACCCACTTCTCAGACCGAACGAGTCCGGTTCTTCGTCCCCTGCAAGCCACGCCCCCAGGTGAGAACCACTGAAGCAGGGTGCCTCCGTGCACTCAACAGAGACGTGTTGTAATAAGCGAGGGTCTGAAGGAAACACACCTGCTCCGTGCCCAGATCCTTCGTAAACATGACCTACGGGGGAAGATCGCTTAAGTCTAGTGCAAGGGCCAGAAAGACACCAAGGAATGTAAGCTTCCGCTGCACCCGGTCCCCTTTGCACAAGGAGCTCACGAAAACCATGCCACCTGAGTCCCTGATGACCATAAAGGTGGCTGTATCAACCCCAACAGCTTGCTTGGGCTTCGTCTGGCCCTCGCTGCCCTGTGGGATGTGCTGTCTGTCTCCTGCACAGCCGTGCCGGGGCAGCCTGGTCCCAGAGAGGGGGGAGGGCCTTACTGGGTCACACAGGGAAAGAAGAAGGGAGCAGGGCTTAGATGTCCGCCACCAGCCCCCGTCCCCAGGTGTTCACCACTGGTACTCTAACGGGCGAAGTAGTACAGGGCCTGTTTGGGAGCAGACGCTGCACCCCAAAGGCCCTGCGTCTGGGGCCGGGCACGACTGAGTTGCCTGTTTTCAGGGCCTGGGCAGCCCGGGGCCCACCTTTACCACTCACCCAGGCAGCTCCGCCCGTCCGGGTGCATCTGGTACTGTGGATGGCAGCTACACTCCGGGCCGGTGGCAGTGTCCTCACAGGAGTGCTGGCACCCACCGTTCCCATGATGGCAGGTCACTGAGCGGAAACGGAAGCAGCACGGAAACGGAAGCAGCACACAAAGCATGAGTTGGGCAGTGCTTGCTCAAGAACTCTGAGTTCCATTCAGCGAGTCCTGGAGCGCCTGGCAGGTGCCAGGCGCTGAGCCTAAGGAGACCTGCCCGACGCAGACCCCGTGCCACGGGGGAGGCAGGTGTGGAAGCAGTCACAAGACATGCCGTACAAAGGTGGACGCACCGTCTGAACAAGGTCATACAGGAAGGTGGAGGAGGGCGAGTCGAGGGACGGTTTTATGCATTAAGAGCAATTCTATCAGAAGGATCTGGGCCAGGCCTTTGCTCTTGCCAGAGAGCTCTGCATAGTCCAGCTCTCCCGGGCCTTTGGGGAACACCGCAAAGCAGACACTAGTCCTTTGTAGACAGCCCGCTGCCATCAGAGCCTCGGCTCCCGCTCCCAGCAACGGAGCAGAACTGCCCCAGACAGCTCCCAAGGTTGCTGTCTCTCCAGCAGACTGCCACAGCTTTCCCTCCTGGGCAGGTTGGTGGCTTGAACCACAACATCCCGGTGAACAAGCGGGCGCTTAACCAGTGTGCACTGGAGCTCCTGAATTGTATGTATGTGTTAGGATTTCTCTCATTGAATTTCCGTGTGGAACTAGTTCCAAAGAAAGGGTGGCTCTTTGTATATCATTCATGCAACGTTGACCACTCATTTTAAAGACTATATATGAATAGTGTGGACAGCAATAAATAAGTAGATAGATCGGTAGATAGATAAAACAGTCTCCTCACCAAAGTGCTAATAGTGGTTACCTTTGGCAAGGGGAAGGAGATGTTTTCTTTATCGACTTCCTGACTGTTTGGACTCTGACATGAACATGTGGATTTTCTAATTAAAAAAGAAAAATAATAACACTTCTGTGATAAGCACAACGTCCTGCGATGTATGACGTGTGCATGCAGATGGGCCACTAAATAGAAGGACGCGGGAACGTTCTCACAGTTGCTTATGGAGTAGGACTCTGGGGGTCTTTTGTTCTGTTTCCTTACATGTTGCTACCATCATATTTGAACAGTGATATCGTGCAAATATTTAATTTTAAAAAAAAATATGAACTTTGAGGTGTCCTGCCTCAAAGAACTGGAAATGGCCAAGAGACTCACTTCACAGCTGAGTCTCTGGTGGCTGATGTCTGGAGGCAATTCCGTCCATCCGTCCCTCAGGCAGAAGTGGTCTCCACTCTGCTCAGCCCACTGGGAGCCTTCCCAGAGAGCCAGACTTTCAGGGGCCCTAAGATGTTGCCCTGGGGCCCCAAATGCTCACCTTCCCTGAAGGAGGCCCAGGTTCCCTTCTGGCCAATCTGCGTCAGACGCAGCACCCCCCTATGTCGGCAGTGGCCGGTGTGTTGCTTTGAGGCTGGACAGGTTCCAGCGGAGTTTCCAGACTAAGATGGACTAGGGAGAAAGGCCTGGTCATCTGCTTCCAAAAGCAAGCCGACAAAACTCTGTGGCTCGAGCGCAATGATCCAGGGTCACTGAACACGGTTTGTCATGAGTGTGGGGAGGTGGGGAGTCGGGCCAGTCAACGTCAGCTACAACAGGAGCCTGCCTATGCCCTGGCGTGACCGTGCCCAGGCCTGACTGGGCAGGCCTCCGGGCTACACTCTGCTCTGCGATGGAGGCGGTGGAGAGAGGTCTCCTGGGGAAACTGTCTTCTCATCTCTCAATCTCCTCACGGCAAACAGCCATCCCTGGCAAACTGCAGCAGTCTCCTGCCGGGGAGGAGCTCCTAAGGGGATGCCGGTGTTTTCTCTGGCATCACGAGTGGTTCGGAAACCACTTTCTGTGCCCGTGGCTTCCTTCTCCCAGCAGTTTCCTTATCTTGATCACTCTGCCCCAGCGGGGTCTGGACTGAGGACGTGATTGGCAGGGGCTGTGGCAGGGGCCAAGTGAAAGCTGAGGGGTGGAAAAGTAAGGGCCGTCCCCGACTTGCATTGCTCATTGTTGGAGGGTGAGACACCTGCATATAAGGGGGCTTCAAGGTGGATGACAAAAGAATTCCATTCTCTTTTCATTATAGTTTTCTGTGACTTTTTGAAACCCCCTCATACATCATCCGACCCAGGGTGCCACACGCCGTGATTGAGGAATGACCAGCGGGCAGTGGGAGGGGAACTAGAAAAGGGCTGCCCCCTGGGACGGCTGTGCCCCTGGGACGGCTTCTGAGGCAGCTTTTCCCGGGAGGGGCCCATCAACCTAAGAGGGAGGTGACCCTGGATTTGAATCCTCCTTTGCCAGGTCCTCCTTGTGTGCCCTGTTGCTTTAACTTCCCCACAAAGAGAGAAGGGAATCATGACTTAGCTGACAGCGTAGTAGTGGGATAAGGCATATGCTTGGGACAAATCTTGACACATAATAAATAGTTCACAACACGGGAGCTGATGTCCTGTCGTTGGTGGAAATTAGGCCAGAGATGGGAGGCTGAGAATCAAGTTGTCAGACCAAGGCTTGGAAGGGGCTAGAAGCACAGCAAAAGATGGGTTGTTCTTCCAAAGGCAGGGAACTTTTGGGGGGAGGATGGGGGGGAGAGGCAGATGAGACTTGTAAGGAACCAGATAGCAAAGAGCTACTAGACACGAAATCTGACCTGATTTTATGCGAATAGGGGGCCACGCTCCCCAACATTCACAATTTTACTCCTGAATTTAATTTCCTTCTGATCGGCTGCTTCAAAGAACAGTCCGGTCCCTGTGTTCTGCTAAAGGAACTCCGGTGGGTTACTCCTTGAGCTGCTAACCACAAGGTCAGTGGGTCAAATCCACTCATCCCTACTCGGAAGAAAGATGAAGCCATCCGCTCCGGTAAAGATGGCATCTCCCAAACCTGAAAGGGCAGTTCGACCATGTCCGGGGCTAGATTAGCTACTTGATGGCAGTGAGCTGGGTGTCCTGGTTCTGCAGTGAACTCAGTGTCCAGTGGAGGCCAACCTCCCTGCCAGCTGCCTTCCCTGAACCGGCTGTGCCACGAGGTGGCACTTGTGATGCCAGGGCTGCAGAAAAACAACCTCTGGGTGTGACGGTCCCCAGCGCGAGTGTGTGGCGGTCTGTACTTACAGATGCAGTCTCTCTGGTTCTTGGCCAGCTCAAAACCAGGCCTGCACTCGCAGGCAACACTGCCCCGTGGGGCTTCTTTGCAAATGTGGCTGCAGCCGTGGTCCTTGTTCATGCAGCTCAGACCCTCTGCAAAACAGCAACGGGTAGCAGGTGACCGGCTGTAGTCTGAGTCCTCAGCCAAGGTCACAGCGAGGGGCTAGGGGTCGGGCCACAGGTCTGCTTATCTGGGTGTCCATCAGCCCACCTTTTAACAGAGTATGTCAGTAACTTCGGTGCAGCTGGCAGAAGCATAAACACAGAAGGTTATCCGTGGTTATAAGGGGCCCGGGGGGTGGGGGCATGGAGAGGAGAGAGGAGTCATTGTTTCGGGGGTACGAAGATTCTGTTTAGGGCGATGAAGAACTATTGGAAATAAAGTGTTTAGAATTTTCTTACTCTATGACGAAACAGGGAGGTTAAGGGAGAGTGGGTAGGAAAGAGGGAACCGATTACATGGAACTATATGTGACCTCCTCCCTGGGGGATGGACAACAGAAAAGTGGGTGAAGGGAGACGTCGGACAGGGCAAGATATGACAAAATACCAATTTATAAACTATCAAGGGCTCATGAGGGAGGGGGGAGCGGGGAGGGAGGGGAAAATGAGGACCTAATGTCGGGGGTTTAAATGGAGAGAAAATGTTTTGAGAATGATGTACAAATGCGCTTTACACAATTGATGTGTGTATGGATTGGGATAACAGTTGTATGAGCCCCTAATAAAATGTTAAAAAAAAAAAAGAAGCTGATATCAGGAGCTCAAGTGGGAAGAGAATGCTTTGAAAATGATGATGGCAATTGCTGAGATTGATTTAAAAACACGTGCTTAGCACAGAGCTTAATCATTGTATTAAATCTTTTTAAAAATCTTAAATAAAAACAGATTTTCATTTAAAAAAAAGAAAATGATAATGGCAGCATATGTGCAAAGAGATGTAAGAGCCCCCAATAAAAATATCTTTAAACAATTAACAATTGATGCAGTGGGGATTTTTTTTTTTTCTTGGTGGGGATTTTTTTAAAAGTAAAAGAAATAAAAAGCATCTGTCATCAATTACGCTGATCAATGAACAGAGGCATGAAAATTTCTTAGGGCCCCCACCCAAGATAGGATGTCTCGACTCTCTTAAAAAGGTGGGAACCTTCCCGGTAAATTGAAAATAGAGCCCCGGCCCCCGAAGCCCTCTGTTGGGTAAGGGATCAGAATCTACTGGCCCAGAGACCGGTGCTCAGACTCTGCCTGCCGTGTTACTACCCACCAGAAGACCAGAGCTCAAGGAACAAAGGAGAATCCCCTAAGAAAACACACTGACAAAGATGCCCAACCTTGCACTTTCCCCAGAAAACAACTGTCAGACGTTTCAGTGCCCTTCCTCGGGCCAAGGGCTGAGATGAGGGTGACGACTGCACAGTGACTTCACCATAGACAGCTGCCAGGGGGTCCCTCGGATGTGACCCACCCTGCCTGGGTTCCTTGTCCTCTCCCTCAAAGCATAAGCCTCTGACAGGCAGTGTCACAGGAGCAGCACTAGCACAAAGAGAACAGGAAAGGAGACTTCACGCATTGTGGTTTCTTTTAAATTACATCGACATAAGTCATCATAAGTTTCCATTCACCCCAATATTGTGCTAGTGGGGGCAGGAAGGGGAATTCTTTGCCTGGATCGTTTAATGCATCTACATGATAGGGCCACCACCCCCATCTGTCCGTTTGTCACACTGTGTTGGCCTAAACGTTGCTACCATGCTTGCAACTGGGCCCCCAGAACTTCAAATACTATCATGATCACCCATCACGGACAAGTCTCAGCGGAGCTCGCAGACAGAAATGGACTTGCAGGGAAGGAGGGAAGGCCGGGAAGTTTCCATCTGAGAACACTGCGGCTCACCACAGCAGACTGCCCGGCCAGATCGTGCATGACAGAGGAACTGGCTCTTCTAGGCCAGTTTTTTTTTTTTAAGTTTTTTTTGCATGGTGGGGGGGTGCGGGGGGTGGGGTCCCCAGGGGTGGCAGCCAAGTTGGTGACAACTAATCCAAACAGCTACAAATGATGGGGAGATCGCATGGTAACACCCTGGGGATTCCCCAGCATCATGGCTCATCCCCAACAAAGCAACTCTTTGAGGCCTTGCTGCCCGCTAGCGCATCCCAGGGCCCTCCCCAACCATCTGCTCGGTTTGTCCTGCATGAGTAAGGACCTGTTCATGGGTCACTTCTCCACTATTGTGCAATGCAGCTCTAAACGATCCTTGGAAGCAGGGGCTTTGTTCTCCGTGGCTCTTGACCACATGATTCCTTTTAAGATTGGACGGCGTGGCCCTGTTTAAGGGTGAGCACAAAAAGTTTTCATTCAACTTCTCTAGTATCTGTACTGTGTGCCCCAAAACCTTCGGCCACAAGGCCTAGAAAGACCAAAGGTCTTCTGTCTCCTTCTCTCAGCAGAGCCTCCGGTCTGTGGTGGAACAATTGCTTCAACACCAACAGACCCCGCCCTCGTTCCAAAAGACAGCACAGGAGAAATAGCCCATGCTCTCTCGAGGCTGCTTTTAAACCATGCTCTTTTCGATCGACCGCTTCAAGCTGCCTGCAGACACTCCAGCTCTCTCAATCGGCTGGGTGGCCGCGACCTAGGCACACAGGCCGAGGGCTGCGGTCAGGGGACACAGAAAGAAGCATGCGCAGTGCAACCACGAGGTGTCGAAGGGATCAGGTGTAAGGCATCATCAGAACAAAAAATCTTACCATAGTGAATGATGGGGGGAGTGCGGAGTGGAGATCCAAAGCCCATTAGTAGGCCACTGGAGATCCCCTTGCAGAGGGGTCTCGGAGAGGAAATGAGCCAGTCAGGGTGCGATGTAACAATGAAGAGAAATACAACCTTCCTCTAGTTCCTAAAGGTTTCCTCCCCGCTCCCACTACCATGACTCGAATTCTATCTTGCAAGACTGGCTAGACCAGAGGAGGTACACTGGTACAGATAGGAACTGAAAATACAGGGAATCCAGGACGGATGAGCCCTATACGACCAGTGGTGTGAGTGGCGAAACAGGGAGGGTAAGGGGAAAATGGGTAGGAAAGAGGGAACCGATTACATGGAACTGTGTGTGACCTCCTCCCTGGGGGACAGACAACCGAAAAGTGGATGAAGGGAGATGTCGGACAAGGCAAGATATGACAAAATACCCATTTATAAACTATCAAGGGCTCATGCGGGAGGGGGGAGCGGGGAGGGAGGGGAAAAATGAGAACCTAATGTCGGGGGTTTAAATGGAGAGAAAATGTTTTGAGAAACAATGTACAAATGCGCTTTACACAATTGATGTGTGTATGGATTATGATAACAGTTGTATGAGCCCCTAATAAAATGTTAAAAAATTTAAAAAAAAAGAAGCATGTGCAGGATGGGCAGAAGGAAAGGGGTTGCTTTGCGCTGAGGCAGGAAATCACGGAGATGTTCTTTGCTCTCCGGCACTGAGATGGCACCGGTGGCGGAGGCTGCCTCCAGAAGCCAGCTCTGTGCTTGTCCTATTGGGGGTCAACTGAACAGGACCCAGGAAAAGACCAAACAACTCCTGGACTGCACACTCCCCAACTGCTCTGCTTTATTCCTTCTCCTCCCCCGCCCCCTCCTCCTCCTCCTCCTCCTCCTCCTCCTTCTGCTTCTCCTTGTTTTTTTGTGTTCCCCTCCCCACTCTGCTTACAAGCCTGTCACGCCATTTGAAAGGGGAGCTTTGGACTGCCTCCTAACAATTTATTCACACAGAACTCCATAATCATAGACCGTGGAGCACATGCTATGGGAGTGCCCACCGACGTGGCCCCTTGAAGTCCTGTCAGATCAAGTTGGACCTCAAGTTAGCCGAAGGTAATGGGACTTCCATGGCTCTGGAAATGGAGGATCAGGCCCTTTCAACAGGCGACTCTGAGGCTTCTCTGAGTTCTCTGGCCCCAGCAATCCCCACAGCCTGGCCTGGCCCGACAAAATCACATTTCGACAAAATCACATTTCGGCTTCTAACTGAGCACGAGGAAGACAGCTGGGGGCATTTCAAATGCCACACCCTGGGGCTCTCCAAGCTCAGAGTGCCACTGAAGACACAGCTGGAAGCTATGTGCCTGAGAACTGGTCAAGAAACAGCCCCTAGAGTAGAAAAAGAGGTCTGCGGAGAGAGCAGTCCTTTCTTCAGTCCCCTGACCCCTCCCCAGCTGCTCTGAAAAGGCATCGCCATGTGAGCATGTTCCCCAGCAGACAGAAGAGAGCAATGCTCATTCCGAGAGGCTGAGCACCCATGAATACGAACAAAGGCGGGCTCGGGGGAGGTGTCTCTCCCCAGCCTACCCCCATTACATGGGTGAGAACACACCATGGTCCCTTTATCAGAGCTTTGAGATCTCCAAGGACCAAGCGGCGGGGGAGAGGGGAGGTGAGCAAAAGGCTTTGCTTTCCCGCAGAATCCACAATCATAATAGTCCTTTACGACTGAAGGACATTTAGGCAAAGATTGTGAAAACCAGCGGGCAGCAGCCCAGATGGTAGAAGGGGCACCCTGCCTTCTTTCAGATGGTTTTTAGGGAAACAGTGATGGTTTTTTTTAAAAATAAATTCTAATGTCATTTTTTAAAGGTTCATTAATCACGGGAGAAATCCCAGAGGATGACAATTTTCAGGTGGCTCTATCAGAGGAACTGAAACTTTTGACCCGAAGGGGTCCCAGTGACACACCGCTCTCATCCCTGGGCTTGCAGTGGGCTGCAGGTTCACCGAGTGCACTGGTTGAAATGCCACCGAACACCATACAGCATGCTTCCAGACCACAACTCAAATTCTTAGATTTGGGTTTTCGTTCCAGACCGGAAAAAAAAAAGAAAGCTCATTTCAAATACCCTTCAGGAGATCCAAGAATGTCTGAGTGGCAGGAAATTTAGAAAATACCGTTTGCGGAAAGGAACTGCTTTTGCGTTTACTTCTGAGATGGGAGCCCTCCAGCCGCAGCTCGAATCCACCTGGGGTGGGGGGCTTGCAGGAGGGGAGAAATACAAGGGTGATAGGTGGCCACAATCCCTACAAGCTGCTTTGGGGCGGTGTTCAAGCAAACTGTGAGCCCCATCTTCTTCCCCAACCACCTAAAGAAGAGGAGCTTGAAGCTCCCCCAACAGGGAGATGGCCCGAGGGTCAGCTCCCTCTGAGCTGCTGACCCTTCATGTCATTCCCGTGCCTGGGGCAAGACTGCGACGCACAGCCAAGAGTCCATAGAACCTGGCAGAAAAGTGAACCCCAACTGCGACTCCATCCACAGCCACGTGGGGCACAGGATTAACACCTCTGACTCCAGCCAGAGGGTGGGAGTGCCCTGCCCCAAGCCTTGAGAAGAAGCAGATTGGTGGGTGAGATTGGCCACCCATCCCATGGGCGCCTGGTGTTTCTCTGACCCCCAAACAGATATTCTAGTCCAACATAAGGCATCAACCACCATTCTAGGGCTAATGGAGAGGGGAAAATATCTTCGATGAAGAAGCCCTTACTGCGTCCCCCCCACCCCCGCTCCCCAAAATCACTAAATGTATGGTTAAAATAAAACAAAATATGCAAATTCATGTTTTAAAACTAGACATTCTTAAACTCATTCTCAAGAGAAGAGTGACGCCAACAGACATATGGAAACAATCGTTCGCCGGACAAATGGACTGCAGAAACATCAGCCTGCACAAGCCTGCAGCTAGAAGAACTAGGCGATGCCTGGCTACCACTGAAAACGACTCTGAGCAAGATCACACCAGAAGGAACATCACCTGAAGCAAAAGTCTAAAGCAGAAGAGAGTGCGCGCGGGCTGACTGCTCGGATAGAGACAGGCGAGGCCCACGAGGCCCACAAGACCACGACCTGTGCTCCGAAGGGAACTCACCCCTTCCCAGGATAATCAACCCCTTAAGATCAAAGGGGCAGCATGTACCCAAGGGCAAAGTTCAGAGGGTGAGGGGGGAAAAGAGGGACAGGAACGGAAAAAAGGGAGAAAGTGGGATTTCAATGGACGAGTTGAAACAAAATGGGTCTGAATTGTCGAATGTCAAACCCGTGTCTGCTTTGTACAGCTCCACCTAATTCACAGCAAAATGTTTCCCCAAACCACCTCCTGGTGCAATTAGGACCGTGAGCAAACAGCCTAAGTCAAAAAGGAATTCATGGTCTCCTGTGGAAGGCCCTTTCCGACACAGGCAGACGGATACAAAGGCAGAAATGTAGACACGGGGCAATGAACGTACAAGTGTGCTTTACACGATGGATGGATGGATGGATTGTGATAAGAGTTGTATGAGCCCCTAATAAAATGATTTAAAGAAAAAAAGAAAGAAAATGATGATGGAGGCGTATGTGCAAATGTGCTGACACACTGGAGGAATGTATGGACTGTGATAAGAGATGTAAGAGCCCCCAATAAAAGTATTTTTTAAAAATAAATAAATAAAATGATTTAAAAAAATTTTTAAAGAAATGCAGACACAAACGCGTGGCTCTTTGGCTTGGCGAAGAGGTGAGAGGAAAAGGGAGGCATTTGCTCCCCAATGGACCCTTGTTTATGTGCATTTGAGGTCTCTCCTTCCCAAGAACCCACTAGCGTGTCAGAGGAATTAAAGATGGGATAAGCTCAAAGCAGGCGGAGAACATCCAGGAAGCAGGAAGGGAAGAGGTGCCGGCACGTGTTGGGAGGAATCTAAGTGAGGCGGGGGCTGCAGGAGGCCGCAGCAGAGGCAGAGCAACCTCAACCTCACAGACCCCCAAGGCCCAGAGTTCAAAAATGCAAAGCACGGGGAAGGGCCAGGTCTAGCTTGGGGCTGAAAACAGAGCAATCCATTGAGAGTCCCCTCAGGAAGGATCCAGGCCCCTCCCAGCCCACACGGAGCCAGAGGCAGGCTGGGACTGGTGCTGTGGTTTGCAGCACCTTTTCTGGAAACACTTGGCACAACATCCATTCTATTTCCCCTGAGACATCAACTCGTGTGTGTGTGTGTGTGTGTGTGTGTGTGTGTGTGTGTGTGTGTGTGTGTACCATGCTCTACGGAAAGATTACAATCGGGGAATGTGGCGTCCCGAGGCTCTCACCGCTCGCCTAGCCCACCCCATCCTTCGTTCCAGGTGGGGAAGCAGAAGCAGGAAGGAGCTGCCCAGGGTCACCACCCAGCAGCAGAATCTCGACTGGTTCTCAAGCCTCCAGAACTTTCTATTTCCCTGGGCCTCCCTCTGCGTTCACCGTTGGGGGAGGAAGGTGGTCTCCGATGCAGCGCTGCCCGTGGCAGGACAAGTACCTTCTGAGCGGTGAATGCACGTGTGCTGATTGTCGCTCAGGAAAAACCCCTCCTTGCAGTGGCACTCGTAGCTCCCCAGGACGTTGACACAGGTGTGCTGGCAGCCGCCGTTGTTCTCCCGGCACTCGTCCACATCTGCGAGAGGAAGGATTGGAGACTCTCCACACACCACCCTCAGCCCAGCAGCTCGTGGGTGGGGGTGGGGGGCCCTGCTCAGCAAGGATGTGTCCCCTCTTCTGTTCCAAGCATCACCGAGGCTCTCCGAAGCCCAGCCCATCAGACAGCCCCACAGACCATTACTCCAGTCTTCCCGGTCTCGGGTTCATCCGGCCAGGCCCGACTCAGGAACTCCAGGGAACCAGCTCAGCAAATATTTACTGAGCACCCTCTTGTTTCCAAAGCCCAACTGCACGAGGGGACAGCTAGCCATGAGTAAGATAAGATGAGTGAGACAAGATGCCTACCTTCTAGAACAGCCCTCCACGGAGGGCAAGAGAAAGGTGCGGGTAATTAGGAGGTCAAGGGGAAAGGGGGCACAGAGGAAGCAGGCCGCACAGGTTTGGCCATCAGAGTGGGCTTTCTAACCGAGAGCGCTCGTCAGGGTTCATTCGATTCTAGATCAGGAGCGGGGCCTCCAGGCAGGAGACCCAGCGTGAGCAACCGCACAGAGGCCAGGAAGCTCGGCAGACATATTTTTGGAGGACGGTGAGTCATTCTGTTTGGCTGGAGGACAAGGTGCCTGCAGAGAAGTTACAGGAGACAAAACTGGGATGATAGATTAGGACCTTGAGTGCCAAGCAGAGAAGTTCCTACTTCATTGCGAAGGCAGTTGGAAATCATTAGAACAGAGGCGGACATGCTCAGGCCCTCCCTTTGGGAAAAATAAGGCGGCAACAGGGAGAGGGCAATCACAAGCTCGGGTACCCTGCTCCCCACACTGCCCGAAGTGGCCATGAGCAGAGGTAGGGGCGGGAGCGGGGCACCTGGCTTGTGGCTGACCTTTTGGGTTAAATCCACCAGCCATCCAGTGGGAGCAAGCTGTACCAGTCTTCTGGAAAGGTGTATGGGCTTGGAAGATGTCCTTCTACCCTGTCCGACAGGGTTGCCATGAGTTGGAATCGGCTAAACCGCAGAGCGTTCGGTTTGGCGGGTGCGGAGAGCTGGGGAGGGCTGGCCCAGAGGTCTGAGAGTGGGCGTGAATGCGAGGAACAAGCCAGGGGCGGCACGGTGGGATGAAGCCTGTGGTCTGGGGGGAGGGCATTGTGACGGGATCTGACGCTGACACCAAAGCTGCAGGCTTGGAACCCCGGAGGGAGGGTGGTGCTAGGTACCAAAACGGGGGTCAAGAGAGGGCGGGCCCCAACCAAGGCAGGGTACTGGGAATCCAGGGGCAGCAGGAAACCAGGGACAGTTGGTTGGAAAAGAATCTGATCTTATAAAAGAGCTTTGAAAATAACTGACTTGTAGTTGCCAACTGAAGTGGTGGATAAGGACAAGGCGGCCCAAGGTAGAGCATGAGGTAGAGGTAGGTGGGGAGACTGGGAGCCGAGGGCCTGGGGTAGAGTTGTGGAGCTTGCTGAAGTCCCAGAAGGGCAGCCATCAGAGAGGAGAGGAGGGAGGCACCCCCCAACTTGCCTTTGGCCAAGCCTACCCTGCGGAGGCTTCCTCCATGCCCTCTGATGCCCTGTGCCCACTTAACCTCGTCCGCAGCCTGGAAATCGTATCCATCTCCACTAGATTGCAAACGCCTTGAGGCCCAGCTTTAGCCATATGGAGCCCAGCCCTGGCACCCAGCAGCTACCGTGCACTGTTTCATGAATGGACAAGCAGCCAGGTGAGCTACAGCAGCGGCCGTGCTAGAGCCAAGGAAGAGACTTCCAGGTAAGTCTCAGACTGGACAGAGGCTCAAAGAGGAGCAGAAGAAGTCTGCTCCACAAGCCCTTTCTTCTCTCCAACCTGATTCTCACCTGCCCGTCACTCGCTCCTGGGCACATCTGTAACCAGAAAATTCCCATTTAAATATCTGTTATCTGGTTTCAAGCTTCAGATCTTAGCCATCTGTCTTCTCACACGACCGAGCAGATGCCTGACTAAACTGATGGGACCCCAGCCAGCCCCTAACATCTCACAAACTTGCCCTCCTCGCTGCCAAGAGTTAAGGGAGGCACATTCCTGTGGCTGAGCCGCTGGCCGCCTGGCCCAGCTTGCAGCCTCCGCAGGGAGGAGGCCAGGGCAGCAGGAGACTTCTGTTTCCTGAACATCAAACTCGGGGTTGGTTTCGAGTGAAAGGTCTGCTCCACTCTGAGCTGCTACCACCCCCCATCCCGCCCACCCCCGCTACACATTTAAACCCATCTTCCCTAAGGAGCCCTGGTGGCATAGGGGTTCCGCACTGGACTGTGATCCGCAAGGTCGGCAGTTCAAAGCCACCAGTGGCTCCATGCAAGAAAGATGGCTTTTCCGACCCCTGGAAACACTGGCAATGTGGCCAGGGTGGAGAACTCGCCCATAAAGCCCAATCGCTATTCCAAATACCTAGTCCCTCAAGACAGAGAAACTGCACTGGGGCGGAGTCAGGCACCTTGACGAGCTGCCTGTTCTTTAAGTTCTCAGGATCTCTGGGTTTAGCACCAGAGCTAAATGGGGGTTCTATGCTTTATATTCTGGCTAACAGATCAGTGGCTAATGTGTGGCTAGGGAGCCAGGGCAAAGCAAAGGTTCAGGAAACACCTTCTGAAAAGCGTTCCTGAGCTTCTAAACGCACCGCGGCATGTCCTAGAACGTTCTTCTTAAAGAACCCTTAGCTTCTTCAGACATACTCAGTAGACGCCCAGGATCTCTCTGTGAGGCAGGGAAGACTCAGGGATTCATGGGTACCAAGTCCACAGAGGAAGCCCGAGGAGAAGATGGGGACACTGCTGAAATCTCTGCGCTACTCTGGCCTCGGGACCTGGGAACAGGCTTTGACCCAAAGGTGCCCGCCCAGCCCTGCCCGGCAGGCCTCCCCCTGGGGTGGGTAGCTCCTTGTGCTCAGAAAGCTCCCACTTTCTGGCCCCAGACAGTGGCTCTCTCACCAGGATCACGAGAGCCCAGCGGCCAGGGCTAGTCTGCCATCAGACATAAGTCTTCAAAATGCCGCTGTTGGCAAGTCAAGGGGGAGGTGAGATTTCCCCTGAAGACAGTAAAAAAAGAATTTAAGAATTAAAAAAGCATACTAAGTGCTTCCCAACAAATCAGACACGCGTTTTTCTGAGTTTCAAACTAATTTTGATTCCTATTCTCATCACGTCTCTCCACTGTGTGGTACTGACTGCTGAGGAAGTCTGCAGAGGGGTGACGATGCCCAGCCTCCAGCAGATCTCACTGGCTCAGCTGCAGGCTAGAAAGACCAAAAGGCCAAAAGGTTTGTGCACCCAAGCGCCTGACTTCTCACCCAGAGCAAGAAGGGATAGTCCAGACCCGGATGGCGCTCCGGGTGACACTAAGGTGAAATAAAGGCCAGGCAGGGGTTAAGTCCCAAAGGAAAGATGCCCCTCCCTGGGGTGTAGCAGGCCTGCCCTGTATCCATATCCAGCACCTGTGAAGCTGGTCTCAAAGCACTTGATCGGAGCAGTCATTCCTGAGCATCCTAAGGAGCCTTCCGAATGGTCGGCTACAGTTCACGAAGCCAGAGCATGGCCCACACTGCTCCTAAGTCCGCTGCCGAGACATCAGCAGGTCAGCCACAAGAAGGCTCATCATTACCCTTTGTCCTGGGCACCACGTGTCCTCTTGTGCAACAGATGAGATATGCATTGTGGTGATGCCAACAAATGTGCCTGCCAGGTGTGCTGCACGTTCTCAGACCACCTAGCATCTACCCCCATGCAATTGCTTGCCAGTCTAAGTCCTGTGTGATTCCTGGTCTAAAGATCTGGTGTGGACAGCACCTCTCACCGCACTGACCTCAGCAACAGAGACGCCAGCAGATGTTCCTGCTTTGTGAAATACTGGGAAGATGTTAACAGAAAGTTTCTGTGTGTCTTGCTCGCTCTTAAAACTACCTGGCTGAAATCCAAGCACTCATTTGGAGTCTTCCAGGACAAAGAGCTCTATCTGATTCCAGAATCAAGATGCTTATAGAACTCAAGGACTTGTTAGAAGTAAAGATCTTTGGAATAGAAGACTCCCAGTCTTCCAGGGACAAATCAATGCTAGAAGACCAATAAAGAATAATGACCCCATCCACCCATGCCTCAGGCCAGTGGAGGGTTTGTATTATGAATCATCACATAAAAAATGAGAAAGTACTTTGTCCGGCCTTCTTTCAGGGAGTCTGACTTCCCCCTCTCCGTTTGGCCTTAAGGAGGATGCTTTCCTCAGAGGAAAGGAAAGGGGCACGTGGGGGAGGGTGCTGGCAGATGCGGGAAGGAAAATCACCACGCCCAAGGCTCTCCTTACCAAGGCAGTTGTGACCATCATGAGCCAACGTGAAGCCATCGAAACAGGTGCAGCGGTAGTTGCCCGGGATATTCCAGCAGTCATGGACACAGCCGCCGTTGAGTTCATTTTCACATTCATCGATGTCTGAGGAAGAACACAGCGGTCATCCGGACAAGGGTCAAATCTGTGTGTGGAGACAAGCCCGTCTAGTCTACCCTGAGCTGGCATCATCCTGACCATTCACGGCCCCTCCATCTCGTTGGGTCCACTCCAGGCTTGCTTCTTCAAGACTAGGTTTCAGATGATGCACACCCCACACTGCCATCCTTACCCCACATAAAGCAGGCCATTCCCAACAGATAATTTTCCGTCCTCGTAAAAGAGAATCAAGACATAGAGCTGTTTATAGAAAAGAGTGGAAAAGAGACAAGAATAGGTAACTCAGGGGAGGGGGTGGGCAAACGAAAAATGGTCCTCAAATATTTTTAAAATGTGCAAGCATCTTTATGATGATGCACTTAAAATGAATGTGGCGTTGCCACTTCTCACCTACCAGACGGACATAGGTTCAAAAGGACCCCCAAACATGCTGGGGTCAGGCTATGGGGAAACAAACAGGCGATCTGGTGGGCATACTACATACCATGGTTTTAGAGAGAAATCTGGTGGTACCTAACAAAACTGCACTCGTGTGCATCTATGTACCTTGGAACCAGCCGTCCCACATCTAGGTATAACACCTGGAAGATACATCCTTAAAAGAGAAAGACACATGTATCCACCACAGCATGGTGTGTAACGGAAACACACTGAGAACAACTCAAATGCTCAGACCCGGGAGAGTGACAGAATGGAGTAGGGCAGGGCTACGCAGTGCAGTGCGACGCAGCTGTACCCATGAGTACTTCCGGAAATCCAATGGATGCAGCTGGACGAAGTTCCAGGAAATATGATTAAATGAAACGAAGCAAAATCCAAAAGCATTTGCTACCCTTCACGTAATAAAGAAGAAGTCTTCACAACGCACACACGAAATCCCAACAAGCTTTTCTGCGGAAATTACCAAGCTTATCTTAAAATGTCTATGGAATTGCAAACAATCCAGAAGAGCTGAAACAATTTATAAAAGAACAGATATGAAGGACTTTTACTCCACAATTTCAAAACTTTCTATATAGTTACAGTTACGAAGACACGCGATATGGGCATAGGGATCAATCAAAGCAACAGAATTAAGAGTCCACAAGTAGAAAGCAAATGTTTTGAGCATGAGGATGGCAACGAATGTACAAATGTGCTCGACACAATGGATGAATGGATGGATTGTGATTAGCGTTGTACGAACTTCTAATAAAATGATTTTTTTAAAAAGAATTAAGAGCCCAGAAATAAACCCTTATACCTATGCTCACTTGATTTTCAACAAACGTGTTACAGCAATTCATTGGGGGAATGATATTGAACACATGGTACTGGGAAGTACGAATTTAGATTCTTACTTCATACAACGTACAAAAATTAACTCAACCAAGGGCTCAAGTAGAAAGAAAATGTTTTGAAAATGATCATGGCAACATGTGTACAAATGTGCTTGACACAATGGATGGATGGATGAATTGCAATAAGAGCTGTATGAGCCCCCAATAAAATGATTTTAAAAAATTAACTCAAAACAGATCAGAGGCTGAAACGTAAAAGCTAAGTGTAATAACACTTTAAAAAGTAAATACACGTTAAGGTATTTGATATCTTAAGTTGGATAAAAATATCTTAGATATAACATCCAAAATATAATGCATAAAAGAAAAATAGATAGGAGGGTGGGGAGAGGAACTGGGCAGCAATCGATGAATGTGGGAGGGAGCACAAGAATTGATTGTGATGATGTATGCACACTCTTTTTAAAAGCAACTTAACTATGAAAGTGTATGATATGTGAATATTATATAAGAAAACTACTAATAAGAAAGAAAGAAATCAAACCTGACCTATGGTTACTATGCGTGAAGGAGGAAGAGTTTCCGCTTGAGTTCATTTTAATGGTGGTGGAACAATTGGAAAGGGATATCAATAATGATTGTACAACACAGAGTATAATCAATGGCACTGAATTATACACAGAGAAGTTGTTGAATTGGAGAATGCTTTCTTGTGTATATTTTTGCCAGAACTGAAAAAACATTACATGAATAACAATGAGTATGGGGAAAACCAAAATGTTCTAAAATTGGTTGTGGTAAAGACTGTACAACTCTATATGATACGGTTGAACTATTAAATTGTAGGATATGTGGATGAAGTGCCAATAAAGCTGTTTTTAAAAAATAGGAGTAAATTGGGCTTTTATCAAGATTTTTAAAAGTTGCACTGCAAATAATTCCATCCAAAATGGAGGCGAACCACTAATTGGAAGAAAATATTTGCAAATCACATATCTTATCCATAAGATACAAAGAAGTCTCAGAACTCAATAATGAGATAAATAATCCAATTTTAAAGTGGGCAAAAAATATGGTATAGACATTACCAAAAACGATCCTTAACATAATTTGTTATTAATGATAGGCAAATTAATCCACAATGCAATACCATTTCATACACACTCGAATGGCTATAAATGATAGATGAATCTTAACAAGTGTTGGTGAGAATGTGGGGAAACAAGAATGTGGGTAGGAATGTAAAATGGCAAGGCCACCTTGGAAAATAGTTTGACAGTTTCTTTCAAAATTAAACATTAATTTACCATGTGACCCAGCAATTCCACGTCTATCCAAGACAAATGAAAACATCCACACAGACTTACATGTGAATGTCCCGGCAGCATTAGTCATAATGGCAGAACAGCACAAATGTCCATCAGCTGGTGAATGGATACTTGAAATCTATCCAATAATGAAACGCTGATGTACAGGACAACGCTGAACTTGGAAACCTTATTGTGTTGGTCTGGGTACTTTAGAGAAACAAATCCACAGAAACTCATATGTATAAAAGAGAGTTTTATATAAAGGTTAAGTGCACATCAAGAAAACATCCCAACCCAGTGCTGCCCAAGCCCACAAGTCCAGCATTAGCCCATTA